AGAAATTTCAGTCGTTGTACTGCTGATACTTGGCTCTGTTGACCAATGAGTTTGCCGACCACTGGCCAGTTCTGGGTTTCTGCAAGCACACCTTTAAAATGGGCGTGTACATGAGGAGCTCCTACAGCAGGATTAATAGAGCGATTAAGGACAGGCTTTGAGCCTGGCCGGAGTGGCTCAGTGGTTGAACCAGTCAGGACACATGCTCGGTTGCAGGCTCAGTCCCCAGTAGGGGGTGTGCCGGAGGCAGCCGGTCAGATTCTCTCTCATCATTGATGCTTCTATCTTTCCCTCCCCCCTCCTCTCCCTTCCTCTCTGAAATCAATTATATATATAGCAGGCTTTGAAGCCAGTGAAATCTATGACCACACTCCAAGCCTTTATGGAGTTGTGATCTGGGATATTAACTGTTGAAAACCCCAGTCACCCTAATTATGAAGTGGAGGCCATAATTGTTCCTCTCCCAAATGAGATAGCATGTCCCCAGCACAGGGCCGACTCCTGCCCACTCAGCCCGCCGGACCTCAGTGCTGACGTCAGCAGTCCTGCGTGCTGGAATCACCCCCCAGGTGGGCTCGTGCAGGCCCTTACCCTCCCTGCAGGTTCATTACCACCCTCCTCCCTCCCCAGGCACTCTCTGCAGCAAACACTTCCTATTAGAAATGGATAGTCAGGGTGGGGGCCAGCCTGGCCCGTTCATAGCATCCAGGCAAAGTGGACCCACTGGAGGGCTGCCCCTCGGACTCACCTCCACGAGGAGCCCACCAGCTTTAATGGGATGCGCATTGGAAGCACGAGGACGTTCTTGAATTCACTTTTCTTGGATTCACTTCTAGACAGGTGGGCAGGGCCCACGGTCATCAATAATCAGAAAAACGTGTGTGTCCTCCAGAACTGTGGCCGGAGCTTGAAGAAACATAGAGGTGCTGTGACAAGACCCCGCCAACCCCAGGAGGGCGGGGTCAGGATGTGGAAAAAGATACCAGGTGGCAGGGGTGGCCGCTCTTGGGGTGAATTAGGCTTCGGGAAGTAGGATTTGGGGGTTACTTTGGGTGATTTGTTCACGGTCAGGCCAAGCCAGAGAAGGGAAGGGTCTGGGTCCAGTTTGGGTGGAAAGATAGCTCAGGGACAGAGCATTCTGGTGGGACCTATACCGGGAATTGAACCATGAATTTACGTAACATTTTTTCAATCACCATCTCTTCCTACCCCTCCTTTCTTCTTTCCCACCTTCTTTCAATTTCTCTTCTCCTTGTCCTTCGTTCTCTTCCTCTTTTTCTTCTTCTTAGTGTATGTTACATAAAGCTGTATGCCAGGAAATAATTTGGTGTGGTGTGAAAGCTTGTTTTTCCAATTCTAACTATTAAAATACAAAAATACCATTCATGGGCCATCTAAAGGCATGGCATGCCCCTGCACACCTGGGGAGAGGCAGCTCCCGCCCGAGCTCCCGCTCCTGCCTTTGAAGGCGTCCTCGTGCTCCTCTCTCACCAGAGCCTGGCTTATTAATGCCACGCGTGGGGTGTGCTCAAGCTGGAAATGAGGGTGGCCACCGACACTGCAGCCAAGGAGCAGAGTGGCCTCTCACGAACTATCCTCCCAGTGTGAGCCCTACCAGGCCCTTGCTTTTTCTTTCTTTAAATACATGTTTATTGATTTCAGAGAGGAAGGGAGAGGGAGAGATAGACACATCAATGATGAGAGAGAAGCAGTGATTGGCTGCCTCCTGTACGCCCCCCAGTGGGGATCAAGCCCACAACCTGGGCATGTGTCCTGACCGAGAACGGATCCAGGACCTCCTGGTTCATAGGTCGGTGCTCAACCACTGAGCCACATGGGCCCGGCAGGCCCCTGTGTTTTCAAGCCCCCCCATGCCTGGAATCTGAGCACCTGAATTGAGGGTCTGTAGGTACCCCTGCCCCTCCCTTCTCACCCAAGAACTGGTGCTATTTGGTTTCGAAGAGGGCCTCTCCTGGAGGCCTCCTAGTAGGTCATCAGACCAGGCCAACTGCTAAGGACTTAAAGGGCCTGATGGAGAGGTCGGCCAGCTCACTGAGCCACGTGGAAGACCAGCGGGCATTTGTTCCAGTTTTGGGAAATGGTTGTGTCCCAGTAAACGGGTTAGCGCGTAGTGCTGCGCAGGGTGGTGTGGGAGAATGTGAGCTCACGCCTGTCCTCCCACCATGACTGCAAGGACCTTGTCTGTTCCCAGCCCTGTCATTTCCTCCCAACTGGCCGGGCCAGACGCTCCAGACACTGCTAATGAGACGCTGAGGGATTTGGCCGGGTGATGGCTCTTGAGTTCAAGAGGACACAACCCCACACTCAAGGAAGCTGAGGGTGAAGAGGCCATGTGAGCTGGTGGCTCTGCGTAACCCAAAGCCCAGCAGACCCTTGGAGCAGGAAATGGGGCAGAGACGAAACGCCAGATGGGGAGGCCCCTCGGTGTTCTTTGTGGGGAGGGCGCCGAGAGGCGGCTGGCTAATGTGTGCTAAGCTAGAGCCTTCTGTGTGCAGAGCCAGCTAGAGACCTAGGCAGGGGGTGGCCAGGGGCTAGAGAAAGAAAAGTAAGCTGTGTCTGTCCTCAGGGATCCTACGCTTCCTTCCTGCCTTCCTCCCATCCTCTCCGTCCTTTATTCATTCCATCTTTCTGCTTTCATCCTTTCTTCCATGTTCCCTCCCTCCCTCTCACCTTCCCTCCTTCCCTTCCTTCCTTCCATCCATCCACCATCCATTCTTATCTCCATCCATCCTTCTGTTCATCTATCTACCCATCCACCCACCCATCCATTTATTCATCTTTTTATTCCATCCATCTGTCCAACTATCATTTGTTTAGATATACCCCTTCTCTGCCCCATCTGCTTAAGGCAATTGGACTCTCATTAAGCTACTGTTAAACTTGTGCTGGATTAGACTTGGTTCTCCTTGTACAACAAGCATGTCAAACTTGTGGCCCTCAGCCCGCATGTGGCATTTATTTGATCCATGTTAGCCTTGAGTTTGACATGCTTATTGTACAAGGACCTGGCCTCTTCACTTGGTGGCCCTCACGGTTCCTGTCTGTGGTTTGGGGATGACAACAGTATCTCTGGCTAAAGGGTTTGACTGCACCCTTTTCATTTGTCGGGGGGAGTGAGTTGAGAGTTGGTGGATGTTTCAGATGAAAAACACAGCCTGGCTTCTTTGAGGTTCTTCCCATGCTACACAGACACCGAATTTAACCTGATCATAGTTAACAATGGGAGACCTGAGCCCTCCTTCTGTGCTAGGCCCTGTGCCAGGCACATGATCTCGTAGAATTGTCATGACATCCCCCGTAGGTAGGCGCTGTTATTTTTCTCACTGTCCAGTTGAGGAAACTGAGGCCCAGAGGCGAGAGCACTCTTCTGAGGTCACTGTCAGGACCCGAGCCTGGTCTCCCTGACCCCAGGGCCGGGGAGTTTCACTCCTAAGTGACACTGTCTCTTTGGATTTGCACCACTGGGCACTCGTGTGGAATGAATGCCACCGGTTCCCTGCTTCCTGCTCTTCTCCGCCATGGCCACAGGCCCCTGGGGAGGTGACACGCAGGGCTGACGGCGGGCCTGTGAGGGGCGGCTCCGTGGGCACCCCTGGGCTCCTTACAGCGGAGCAGCAGCAGGCGCCTGGGCAGGGCTGCTCACATGGGAGCCCTCCAGTCTTACATGAACACACCTTCCTGGGCGCTCCTTCCAGAACTTGGGCATTTGCAAGGAGGGTTCACTTTGGCCACAAGAGGGCGCCCAACTCCTGGCCAGACCTGAATGGGGTGCTGTGGGGAGGTGGGGAGAACAGTGAGCTTAGCTTTGGATGCCATTTTAAAGCAAACTCTCATAACCTGATCACCTAAGCTCTTCAGAAGTGGGGGCATGTTTCCAAACCAGCTGGGGAGGTTCATTCTATTCAGCCGGTGCCAAGCAAGGATCTGAGAGCGCCAACAACGGAAACCACAGGTTCCTGCCCTCAAGGAGCCTGCAGTCGAGTGTGGAAGACAGGGTATTAGAATGCAATGTGATAAGTGCCAGAGTCTTAATCCAGGTCGGGCCCTGAATCAGCATTCAGTGAGCACCTACTGTGTGCAGGTTTTGTGCTATACTTGCCAAGGACAGAGAAATGAACAATACAGAATCATTGCCCTCAAAGACTCAGTCCACTTGGATGATAAAAACTGAAAGAGTGAATTTGGAAAAATAGGAAAGCAGAGCCACAGAAATATATACAGACTATTTTAGGAGAATTGAGGAGGAACAGCCAACCCAAGCCAGGGCTTCTTAGAGGAAGAACGCTCGGCCCTGCTGGGGGCATTGGTGTCAGGGAAGGCTTCCTGGAGGGGAGGACCCCAGAGACAAGTCATAAAGGACCAATGGGCATAGGGGCCACGTCTTCTTTATCCATGTACACAGTGGAATGCTACTGAGCCGTAAGAAAGGATGAAATAGTGCCATTTGCACAACATGGATGGCCCTTGATGGCGTTATGCTAAGTGAAATAAGTCAGAAAAAGCTAAGAACCATATGATTTTACTCATGTGGGATATAAATCTGAACCTTAAGAACACAAACAGCAGTGTGGTGGTAGCCAGAGGGAAGGTGGGAGGGGGAAGGGGATCCTAATACAAGGTGACAGGAGAAGATTTGACTTTGGGTGGCGGGCACACGGTGCAATATACAGATCGTGTAACATAGAAACCCACACACGAAACCTGTATGTTCATGTTGACCAATGTCACCCCAATCAATTTAATAAACAAAAATTTTAAAAAAAGACAGATGGGGATTAACCAGGCAAAGAAGGGGATGGTATTCCTGGCACTGGGGACACCATAAGCAAAGGGTGGGAGGTGAGAAACGGGGATGGCGAGGGCCACAGGCCCGGTCAAGGTGGGAGTGGGTGTTGGGCGCCGCGCTAAGGAGATCGGCTCTCCCTGCTCTCATTGTGTGTGTGTACGCATACACTTCCCTCTCTCTGTCCCCCTTCCAGAGCCAAGAAGAAAAGCAAGCCCTTGAACCTCAAGATCCACAGCAGCGTGGGCAGCTGCGAGAACCTCCCAGCTCAGCAGCGCTCCCCGCTCCTGTGCGAGCGCTCCCTGCGCTCCTTCTTCGTGGGACAAGGGCCCTTCCTGCCCTCCACCCCTCCGGTCCACAGCGAGGCCAGCTTCTCCTCAAGTAAGTCGCTGTGCCAGGGCTGCGCGCTCTGCCAGGTGCGCGCTCTCTCTGTGTTCCTTTTCTTTGGTGAAAATGCTCTTGAAATGTTCCCGAATACGCCTCATCTGCGTCTGCCTGCCACCTCCCACCTGCGCCACACACGCCTCTTTGGATGGATTCAAGGGAAGGGGTGTCATCGGTGCTCCAGGTCCACTGGCTGTTGTCATTGGCCCGCAGGTGTGTAGGGATAACAGAGGGAAGCCAGCGTGCCGGGCATTCAAGGATGGGAATGTCAGCTTTTTCCTCTCCGGTTTCTCGGCTGCCGGTGCCGGCCTTTTCCTCTTTCTGTTGTGGATGAGGCTCTGTGATTGTGTTTTGTTATTTCATCCTCCCCCACACAGGTCAGCACAGTGTAACTTTACATCTCCAGCATGCACTTGGGTTCACACTGGGCTGAGCATGGCCCGGGGTGGTTTACATTCTGCTCCTGTGGATTCTGCTGCAGATGAAGTTGTTATTACTCAGAGCGGAAATGGAACTTTCTGGCGATCAAGGGCTGAGGTCTTAGAAGGCACTTAATCTTCTCCTCCCAGAGGCCCGTTTTGCAGAACAGGCACAGCCGTTTTCAGAGGGGAGCCCCTGAGGAAAGCCCAGCTAGTCTTCTGGCCAAGACAAGATCTCTCTGTTGTTGTGGCTAACTCTCACCTGAGGATATTTTCCCCAGCGCTTTTCAGAGAGAGTGGAGGGGAGGGGGGAAGGTGGTGGAGAGAGCGAGGGAGAGGGAGAGGGAGAGGGAGAGGGGGAGAGAGAGAAATATTGATGTGAGAGAGACACATTGACTGGTTGCCTCCCACATGCGCCCCAACTGTGGCCGGGGTGCGAACCTGCAACTCAGGTACATGTTCTTGACTGGAATTGAACAGGTGACCCTCTAGTGTGCAGGCCAGCATTCTAACCACTGAGCACACCATCCAGGGCCAAGAGAAGATCTTTTATTTCCTGGGAACTCAGGAGGAGCCGGGCCGAGCTCAGGTTGCAGTCCACTGATGTGGAGCCTGCATCCACGCGGGAGCAGGAGGCCCATGTGGACGTCGTTGGGGGAAGTTCCAGAGCCTGGCTTGTTTAGGCCCAGGGGTGCAGGCCCTGAACAGAACAGACCAAAATAGCGCTCGCGGCCCACGTCAGCACCAGAAAGCCTATTACCCGTTAGTCAGGAGGGATCACTGCAGAGACCAGACCTGCTCCGTGACAGTGGCCTGCGTGGCAGGCACGTGGCCGTTGGAGGGTGGCTCAGTGAGCCCCGGTGAGGAAAAGATGTGATGCCGTAGCAGGTGAGTGAGACAGTGGGGGGAGGCAGGACATCCTAGCCCTGGGGGAAGTGCCTGGGTTCCAGTCCCACCGTGGTTGCTTTTGAGCCCTGTGCCTGACCTTGAGCAAGTTGAAGAGCCTCATTGAGATTCCGTCTCCTCATCTGTAAAATGGGGATCACAATAGAGGCATCTCATAGACGTTTGTGAGGATTAGATAAGCTCGTGTGTGTCGAGCTGTCTGCACAGGAAGTGCTTCATCACTGGCAGCTGCTAGGATATGTATCGGCCTCTTTTTTCTAGCCCCTCCTCGAGGGGTTGGCCACAGCTCTGTTCTTTCGTTCTGGCCAGAGCAGAAACACCTATAGCTTGTTTAAAAACCAAACCAAACATGGACTGGCACATTCGGATCTCGCCTCCTGCCAAAGGGAGTTACAGACGAGGAAGCCAGGCTGAGTTCACCATGGCTCCCAACATTGGCACCTGCACTGGTCTCCATCCGAGAGGCGCGGCTTCTCCCTGTGCCTGTGGCGGGAGCAGCTCCTGGCTAAGAGGCCCTGGGAGCACAGGTGCCTCTTGGGACAGCGCTGGTCCTTGTGGACAGGGAGGTCCCTGGATCTCTCTGAAAGGAGGACGAGCACATGGAGCCTCACTGGGAGAATGACCAGTCCCGTTTGCATTGACCCTAACAAACGACAGAACGAGGCAGCCTGGTGGCACGGGCTCCACATCATGCCGCAGGAAGCTCTCTCTCCGAGTCTCTGTGCTGCCACCAGTTGCCTGTGTGACATTGTCCCTGCCTTGCCACCATCAAGGCTGACCACACTCTTTGAGGCAGGCATTGTTATTCCCATTTTACAGATAAGGAAACTGAGGCTCAGAAGGTGTGAATGATGTTGCCTGGGTGTTAGGTTTTGAACCCAGGCCCAACTCTAGCCTGCTCAGATTCCATCTCTTTCCTGCAGTGAGTTCCTGTCTCTATCTCCCTGGGTCTCAGTTTCCCCAACTGGACAATTAGAGACTCCACGAGGGTCTGTTTCAGAGCTTAGAAACTCTGTGATCCTAAGGCTCACCCAGTGAGCTTCCCCTGGGCACCTCCTGACTCACTGAGAAAGCTGGTGTGGAGACTCCGGCCGGGCTGTTGGGAGAACATGGCTGCCAGGCGCTGGTTCCCCCTGCTTGTAATCGTCCCATTCTCCCACCACTCTGAGTTTCAGAAGAGAACTTCCTGCCTCTAGTCCCCTCCCTATCCCCCCCTACCCCCCCCCCCCCCCACTGTGCCAGCCAAGGGAGCCTGCCAGGCCGAGTCTGCCTACCCGGTTGTCACTGTCAGCTCTGGCTGAGGCCTCAGTGTGAGGGGAGGTGGCATACCATCCTATTACCCCCGACTGTAGTGCCGGGAGACAGCATTAGGCCTAGGAGGGCCGAGCCGAGTCGAGCCTTGAGCCCTCAGGGTGCGAGCCACCTCGGATGGGCTGTGAGGACTTCACCTCCTCAGGGCCTGTCCTACTTCCCTGGTCTGGGGGTGACCTGCTGGGGAGGGAGGGGAGTGGCAGGAGCCCCCGAGTATGGAGGGTTCTGTCTCCAAGGCTAGCCATGACAGAACACGAGGATGGGCTTCCACTGTGCTCCGTGGAAGGTGCTGACTCAGGAGGGAACGGCTCCCCAGAGAAGCAGAGGGCGGTGGACGTGGCTCCCGTCCCTGCTGCATTTCCTCGGCATTGCCTTCTCGCCCGCCACGCTGCCCTAGGACCATCTGAACGGATGCCCTCCACGCTTTTGGTCCAACAAGCTGTTTGCCAGTGACTCCTTGAAGGGTCTCTGAGCCCAGCTGCCTTAGGTCAGGCAGCCTCTATGACCCCTGTAAAGAGGCTTCTTCAGAATGAGAAAATGCCTCCTAGATGGAATCATTTCATTCGTTACCAGCGGGTGGAAGCGATTTCGGCTTGACAGCAACTGAGTGGTTGCTGAGGTGTCACTGGGCAAGTCACGGAGCCTGAGCCCGGCTCTGCCTGCAGGGACGGACAGTGAGGACAGAGTGAGGAATGCATGTAAATGTCCTAGCACAGGGCTGGGCCTTCAAGCACCAGGTTCCAATAAAGGGTGGCGTTGGGAGCGATTGCTGTGTGCTGTGCGCTGGGGTAGTGTGTGACAGTGATGAAAACGGTGACAGTAATAGCCACTGGCATTTATTGTGTGTTGACAAGGCTCCAGGCACCACCAAGTTGGCTAAAGCAGCTTCCACCTGTTATTTCACGTAAGCTTCCCACTCCTCCATAAGGTAGGTGCTCTTGGTACCCCATTTCATAGACAAGGCAACTGGGGCCGAGTTTACGGAACCGACCCAAGGTCACCAAGTCGGGAAGGAGGTGGAGTTTGCACTCATTTGGAACCCGCCACCCTACCATCCCCTGCGGAATGAGATTGCAAAGCCGCCCTCACAGAAGCCTGCTTGCTCTTCAAGTAGGGACCTTGTTCAGGTTGTCGCACTTGCCCAGCTGGGAGAACAGCCAGGCCTCCAGGCTGCCTTCGAGAGAGCAGTGCCCGTACTGGCTCACCAGTCGGTACCGCCCAGGACTCAGTGTCAATCCATATTCAGAGCATCATCCATGGTCCCAGGTGGTGGCCATTCCTGAGGGTGGGGGTGGGGGACCGGCAGCTGCAAGAATGCAGCTCCAGCTTCTGCACCTCATCCGTCCTGGGGATGAGGAATGACAGGGTACTTTCCCCCCTGCAGTTTTCTGTGTGCTTCTTTATGAGCTGCCTGTGGGGGTCCAGCACTCAGGGCAGCAGCCACTGGAGGGAACAAGTGACTGATGGTCCCTGGATGTCCCCATCTTGGTCCTAATGACACCAGCTGGCGTTCTGTCCGAGGCCCCTGTCTCATGAAATACTTGAGGAGGTGTCTTAGAAGGCGGCATGCCCTCCCCTCCCCCATCTTACTCTGCCCTCTCCCCAGCTCTTCTACAAGCAGCTCCTGTTCTTTGTCCTGGGGACCAGGCAACAAACAGCTGTCCCTCTGCCGAGGGCCTGGCCTGGTGTGCCTGGGGCTGAGGCGGGCGCCTGATTTGGGGAAGGAGGCAGCAGCAGGTAGCAATAAAGACCGATGAAGCTGAACTGCCTACTCCCAAGGAACCAGCCACCGGAAGGGTTATAAAGAGACTCGGTATGGGGGTGATTATATAATGGGGTTTAATGAGCCTTGAGGCCAAGGTTCATTACCCGCTGGAAGAGGGGGAGGAGGAGCCTGTCTTGACTGAAGTTTGCTGCCTGAAAACCACGTTCTCACCTTAGAATCCGGAGAGAGGTCGAGAAGATTGTGTCTGACCTGACTCAGTGGCGGCAATTCCAAGGGGAAAACATATATATATATATATATATCTCTATATATATATATATATATATATATATATATATAATTGGAGCAACCCAGAGAGCTTTTCTCCCCAAGAATGCTGCTCCCCACCTTCCAACCCCCCCCCTTCACCCCCAGCAAACACAGAAAGCATCTATATTGCCTGTCATTGGCACTGTGTTTTAGAAACCCAGGTCCCAGCAGGTCCCTGACATGTACTGACCGTCTGCTACTGGCCAGGCAGGTGCTGACCTAGATGCTCTGTAGGCATCAGTATATACACCCAGAAGCAAACAGAACGACACAGCATGGTTCCTAACGAGCACCACGGTCCCTCGCACCATCCTGCTCCCCGCCTG